CCTAACAGAAAAAGTGAAGGAACAATAAATAATCTTGGTGTGAACTCTGGCTCTAAAATGAAATGCCCATGGCAGCATAAGTAACACATAGATACTTTCACTATTATTTAAGTTGAAAAATTCGCTAACAGTGTCATCTGATGCAGAATCTTATACTAATCAGTCATTCTGTAGCAGAAATTTCTGCATGATTTAGAAAATGGAAGAAATCACAAGAAAATATAATTTCATGTTGCTGCCACTGTAAGAATGGGAATAGGCATCTCCTTACAAACCATGTGATTAATTTCATCTTCCTTGGTAAAGACTTTAAGTCAGGAAACAGCATTGGTATTGCACAAATGACTTCCTCCGTGTAGCAATCATAGATGAGGTTGAGGGAAATCACACACTATTTCTTGTAAAATAAGGGTGAAACAGGAGCACTTAGCTGAGCCAGGGTGGCACAAAGTCACTCTACCGTCTGACAAGAGCCCCATAAAGGCTTGGGACAATGCTGCTAGAGACAGGTTCATTGTCCACTAAAGCACCCTGAAAGAAGAAACATACATGAATCCTTTGAATAGATCCCAGGATAGAGCTGGTCTAGTCACAGTTATGCTCTAGGCTCAGGAGAAGTATAAATCCTGATTAATTGTGAGAGTGTCCAAAGCACAGCTGGCTGTTTGAATTACATAGGACATGCTGTTAAGACTTACACAGCTAAACTTTGACCTACTTTATATACCAGGCTATGTATGTGCACAATTGTGTATTTGATGTTTCATTTGTTCAGCTAATTTTTTTTTTCTTCTGTTTTTTATTGTTAGGGTTTTGTTTCTTTTTTTTTTTTTTTTTTTTTTTTTGGTGGGGGAGTGGGGTGTGGTGTTTTCTTGTTTTTTTTTTAACATTAATTTCTGCAGTTAGCATCTGGGAGACAGGCGAGACTACAGTATTAGCAGTTTGCATTTATGTAGATTTCATCAGAAAAAAACAAAGGTGAATACAAACAGGAGGCAGAAACCAGCCAAATTAAGCTCTCAGCTGCACTGAAATAAGTCCAGTTTCCTCATTTTGTTTCAGCATTTTATGCTTTTTTTCAAAAGGACAGTTTTAATCTCAGACTCATCAAGCAGTAAAATACAGTAGGAAAAGATCACCTCTATCTTTAAAATTATCTTTAATTGCCTGAATTCTTTTCTGAAAGGGAAATGGTGCTATTAAAAATGAGATACTCAGTGAGGCCACATCTTAGAGCCTAATGTAAAAACAAGTTGTGTAACAATCCTCAGTCATGAAGCTAAGCCTCACAACAACTGCTCTGGAGTTCACTGGGCCCTGCCATTCCTTTTATAGATAAATAATGTGAAGTTCACTCACATCAGTTCTGTGCAGCTCACAGGGAGCTACGTGTTGATTATCTGAAACCAGCTTCTCCAGCACATAATCAGATCACAAACAACATGTAATAAGAAGTACTGCATTCCAGGTAATACAGCATGATCTACTTAAGTGTGTAAGTCCCTCACAAAAGTAGGTGAAGGTTGTTTAAAAAACATAGTAACTGTTAAAGCAATTAGACCCAGAAAATGAAGACCTCTAACAAAAGGTGAGATTACTGTTGTAATCAAACAGCTCAACAGCAGGGCATTAATGCTTCAGCCCCACCCTCAGGCAGAAATTACTCAGTCATCAAAACTTCCACAAAATGAGGGTGAAGGGATAAAACACTCCACTATCTGTAACTTACTGAAGTTATGCATAGAGAAGGAAGGAAAGCTCCATATCCAACAGATCTGCTTAGAAAGGTAACTTTAACCCATAAAAGTTCTCCCTATGCAGTGTAAAACCATCCTTCTAGTACTAAGTGGAGTGGAATGATCTCTATATCCACGTGCTTGTTTTCAAGTAATGTGCAAAGGAGCAGTCTGACAGGAAACTTCTTACATCCTCTCCTATTTACTGCTGCACCAGCAGGGAAAGTCAGCCGTACACTGACATGATGATCCAATGGAAATAATTATACAAGATCCTACAGAATGAAGACAAAGACCACAGTGGTGCTCTGCCTTTTCTTTCATTTCTGAGGAGGAATAGAACAAAGAATTTCTTGCAAAGAATCCTGACATTATTTAGTGTTAATTACCTGTCTACTGATTTCTAAAGTGAACATACTGGTAATGGAGCAACAATGAACCTAACAGTCCTGTATTCATATCTAGAAAAAACATTACATGTTCCCACACCCCATCATTTTTTAGCTAAATATTACCCAGGAAAAGAAATCATTTCCCATTAACAAAATCCTTTCATATTAAACAGTAAGCTAACCCCTCATTAATCAAGTGTATGTTCTTGCTCAATATGTTCTCAATAAAACCACAGGTAATGGACTATAGTTAATGAACTCCTGTCTATCTGCAATGCTGATGCTAAAAGCCTGAGCAATCCTGGATTTCTACCTTTCTACCACCTCCAGTGCTATTCGTCTGTCTGAAGGAACTTCAAGTCTCTCGTACTCCTCTTCAAAGGCCTTAGCTGTTTAGTCTTCTACTCACCTACTTTTGTCTTAACATACTAATCTTCCCACTCCTCCAACAGACACCCCTCTGTCCTCTTTAATTCTATTTACCCTAAGGTGGGAATATATTCAGAATTTGTAAAGCCACAAAGTATCTTTCACTCCAAATTCTGAGTCAGACCTGCCCTAACGTGAGAACTCTACCAAATACAGCAGTACTACAGATTTATCTATGCAGATACAAAGAACTGTAACTCCTGCAGTTTACAGAATTATTGTAATTGTAAAACCAGTTGTTTGGGGTTTGTTTGGCTGCTGTTGTTTTGCTGGGTTGTCATGCCCATGCTCCTTCCCCCCCCCCCCCCCCCCCCAAAAAAAAAAAAAAAAAAAAAAGAAAAAGAAATAGACTAAGTGCAATTGTCCCTAAGTTTGGATGTCTAAGACTACTGGGTAAAGAGTTCATGAGAGTCTGCTGTGTCACATAGGTGGCAAAGGTCCAATTTCTCAAATTTGTTTCTTCTGAAACTAAACATAAGCTGCAGCAACATTGTGTTAAATTCTTCATCCTAACTCACTCACTTTTAACAAACAGCTCAGTTTGTAACAAAGGTATACAGTGCACTCCTATGCTTGCAAATTGGGTATCTGCAAAACAGGTAACATCATTTCATCTCTCTTGATAAATATAGAAGTACCAATTAGCTAAAACGCATTACACAACAACAACTCAGGGCAGAGTAACAACACCCTATAAAGCGTAAGTGATTTACTTAAAGGTAAGATTAATCAGAAATCACACTGAATTTAAGTACAACTGGCAGGGCTTCATTTTAGAAGATGAGAAGAACACTTGACATGCCCGTTATCATTTTGTTAAAACATAGATCCACAAATGCCAATTAGATGTCTACCTCCTAATGAGGTACCTAGCCTGCAAAAAAGTCAGGAGAAACAACCCTTGCAATCAAGGCAAGTTAAGAGCCCAGGTGGAGGGTAGTTTTTGAAAGGACACAGAGCTGTGCGAACCTATGACTAGGTAGTTAAAATAGGCCTCAAAAATTCTGGGTGTTTTCTCCAAAAAGATGTAGACACAGCTGCAAATTTAACAGGAGACTTATTTTGTTATCTCTAATTTCAAACATGTCTAGGGAAAAGTACTTCAATCCTTTGTTGCAAAAGAAAATGCACCAGGGATGATCAGTGCTGTGTACTCACCATAATCCTGTAAAATCATGAGCAAAAATAAGCGCATGAGAAAACTGCAAAATGCATTTACCAATTCAATGCCAAGTTCTGAAACATCTATTCCTTATTTCTGCTCCCTTACATATACAAATTTGGTATTAACTTGACAGGATTTCTCACTTGAATGCTTATGATCTACAACATATTTGCCTTCTAATTTACCGGAACTGACTTTTTATCTGGGGTGGATTTAACTAAACCTGTTTCCATATGTTTTGAGCTCTAAGCTCGAGACCGTAGATTTGGAACCGTACAATGTTTTTCGATTGCGCAGGTTGGCATAAATCCCATGTGTGGTGTATATACACATAATACCTTCACGGTGCTTCGGCAGGACATCTCCTATGAGTAAAGCAAGCAGCATGTAGTAATAGGCTGTTTTCCAACATTATAACTACAGTCTGCACTCAAGAGGTGAAGGATATGTCACTGGTTTGTCCCCAGTAGGTCACAGCAGCTTTTTGCCAAATCATACTCACGTTATGAGAGTTACTGTCTCACAGTGGCCTCAAACAAAAGAAGAGACTATTTTTCCACCTTTTCAGCAAGGACACAACTTGTTCCTAAGAAATGCAGACTGAGACAAATCTCACCCACAGCGCGCAACATGCACACCGAACTCCTGTCTCACACCATGCAGCAGAAAGCCTGCATGTCACAGTCACAACACTGCAGTGTGGTCGGTCTCTCATCCTCCAACACCTCTCACGAGGCTCTGGATTACAGAGCTAGGAAGAGGTTTCCACAGTGTCCTGTGGTTGGAGGTATCCTACATACCAAGGATCCACCTTACCCATTCCTCCTTCTGAGAAAGGAGCTATCTCTATTTCCCAGTCACACAGGTCTCAACTCAGGAAAACAGAAATTTGAGAGGTCTGACTGTAGGATTAGATAAAGTTCACAGTGACTCAAGGGTGAAATCCTAGCCCTAGTGACATCAACAGAAAAACTCTCACTGACATGAGGGAAAAGATTTCAGCCCATATCCCAAATGTGAGTGTTTTTTAAGCTGATGAAATTCAGGCTCTGATTCTGTAGAAGATATTTATACACCTTTCACTTCACATATTGTACAGTTCAAACTCAGTGGAACCAGTAACATCAAGTAAAGTGATGCTTGTCAGTACATTTTAGTGAGATCCAATCTCTAATTGTAAATACAAGCTTAAGATCTTACACTGTAGTGAAAAGTTTCAAACAGCACAAAAGCAACTCCAGTGCTGCTTGCTCTGGTGTTTTTTTTCTTTTTACTTACTTTTGTCTGATCATCAGCTTTAAATACATAGCAGATGCTTTGATGACTTGCTGCTCCATCCTTTATCAGACAAGCAAAGTAGCTTGGATCGTGGCTGTTGTGTATCAGTTTGTGGACATGCTGTGGCTTGTATTCAAACAAATCTGAATAATTCAAAGGGTCCCACTGCTGGATTTTCCCAGTGTCTGGTTCACATCGCAAACTCTCTGGTGAAACATACAGTCGGATTTGGCTGACGCTAGGTTCTTCTTTGGAAGCCCTTGCACTGAGCATCCGGATCTCTGCCACAATCCAAGGCAGCATTGACATGGTGGTTAGGGAATGCACTGGCAGAGAACCAACAAGCTGGAGACTGAAACTTGCTGAGAAATCATTTGATATGTGGTGCTTCTTTACTTTGAATGTAATTGGCTCCATTTTACAGTCCTTTACAGAACCTGGACTAATTCATCAATATTTCAGTTCCATGGAATGACTTCTGTATGGTTCTTTGATTAAGGAACAGAAGATTTCTGTAAGGAAAAGAAATAGTTATGTAGGTGGTGGAACCCTATTACAAATGAACTGGCAGTAACACAAATATTTGATAACATCAGAAGAGACATACTGATCCTCTACCATGACCTATTCAGCACATTTCCCCTACATTGGACCTTATCATTTCAGATACAACAAACATAACAGTAATAAATTCATTGCTTAAAAAAAAGTCAGTCCTAATTTAAAAGTTGCTTTACAACTCTTGCTAAACCACCTAGTAAGTAACCAGACTCAAAACCACACATTCTTTCTAACCTGTGTCTGTCTCATGGCAGAGGTACATGGATCACAATGGCCTGTTTCAATCCTATTATCACAGAAAAAACTCAACTGAGCTTTTCTGACCTTCAGGACAGTTGAAGGCAGTGCTTGCTAAGACACATTCACATTTGGGGAGGGAGGAAGGTCATCTTCCTTGTTCATAGGTAGACAATTTTGACTTTGGCTACTAACATGGGGTTGTTTCCTTGGGTACTTTGCCAAGTGATCATGGGCTGTTACCAAACAGACTTTTTCATTAAATAACACCCCAGAAATCTTCATCTGGAAAAGCTAGTAGCAGTCAACTGACTGACTGCTGATAAAGCTACCAGATAGCAGAGATAAGCAACAATCTTTACAGCATCTCACTAAAAAACATGATGATTCACAACTCATGATTACATTTTGAGGCCTGTCAGCCAGCCAGGAATACTTAATGTGTGTCACATTGATGTTGTATCATTTTCATTTCATAGAATATCAAATGGAACCAAGTTACATACAACCCTGTTATACCCAACATATAGTACCACCACTGCTGTTACTACATATTAGTTGGTTTAGTAACAAAATTCAATAACTGCATTTATCTGTCAATTTCATTTTGCAAAATATAGTCTATGAAAATGTAGATTGGCATGTGTTTTAAGTCCTCATTAATTGAACCTGGCTTTCAGCTGTTACATTATTTTTGTGTGAGACTGATGAGAAGCTGACAGGCCTGTAATTGCCTGTGTTTAAATACCATGACACTAGTTTACCCTCGGCCTTCTGAGAATTTCCCATGAAAAGACCTATTAAAAACAACATGAGCAGTCTGAAGAACTCCTTATGAAACACTTTCAATTATATTTGAACAAGTATTTAATAAATGGCATCTGTTTACTGTGGCAACAATATTTCGTGTCTTTGTTCATCTACAAGCATGATCGAAAATAGCAGTATTTTTCTCATGAGTTTTCATCAAACTGTGTCCTTTATTTGTCCTTATAAAATATTTTCAAGCTGAGTTTTTAACAGTGTTTCACCTTGTTGAAAATGAAAGGAAATTTAAGATGGAAATTCATTTTGAACTAAACAAGGTTTTAAAATACAACCAATTTACAAATGTCCACATGGGGGAAAATGTTTCTACAGTAAATGGCAAACTGTAAAAGCAAGAGAACTGCAGAAACCCTGGGGTTGGGTACATTTACTGGTTTGGAACTTCTGCATCTTTTGACAAATGAACTCTGTGGCAACATTACCACTCCCAAGGATGACAAATTTAGCAAGAGAATACAATAATGCAGGTTTTAAAGACACTATTTGAAGAAATTATTATAAGTAGCTTTCTAGGTGTGTAGAACAATTTCTTCAAAAGCCTTTTTATGAACCTGGAGGGGAAGAGGAGAGAGAGATGAGGGAGGTGTGGGGGAAAAAGGCAATGAAAATCCAGAATTTGGATGCCGCATTTCAATTATACGACAACTCTTTTTCTTTTTTGTTTCACAAGCAAGCAAGAAAATAACCATCTTTAAGATGAATATAAACGCATCGAAACGTATGGGATAGCAGCTTCACAAAGCATTTTTAATACCTGATCAACATAGACTGCTAAACACAATTGTCATTATAGTTTTGCATCTGTCAGGAACCAAAGTGGTCTCGTCTTCTTTGACAAAATATTACAAATTATTTTCTTCTTAACTGTAACAATGAAAAATAGCTCTGCAACTGCAGGGAAGATCATGATCATTCTTAGCTACAATGGTGTGTAGTCCAAAACACAAGGTTTGTAGCTTTTAGTGTTCTCGGTATTTAGTGGCATATACAATAAACTCAGGGTAAGAAAACATAAAAACCCTTCATTCTTAGCTAAAACCAGGAGAAGCGAGCTCCTACATGGGTGATGACCTATTAGCCATGTACCTTTTGTAACCATATTTCTCAGAACTCTTTTGTAAAAAATGCCATTAAATAAAATGCAAGTAAAAATACAACAGTCATCCTGTTTTTTAAATCAACTTTTCAAGGAAGAGAAGTTTCATTTGGATTACCACCATCTACCATGCTCTTTTACTCCAGACCTGCAAGGCACTGCAGCCTCAAATATTAATAAATATCACAATATATTACTTTGTGTGCTGACTCTAAGGACTGACCAGTATGTAAAAAAATTAGTTTGATACTCTGTCATACTTAAACAAACACTGTACTGCTGGAATGTATTTAACATAAATGCAAAACTTCTTGGCATTCACCTCTCAAACAAAATAAACACCTTACAAAGTCAACAGCATAAATACTCCTATGTCTGTATTTATTATTTCTAAAGAAAAGCAGTTCATACTAAATCAAAGCAACTAACTAGAAGTCAGAATGCTAGGGTTTTATTTTCTTTCCTAACATTAAGAGAGGCTAAAAGTGCAGTTTCTCAGGGCACTAATTTAGCAGTATCAAAAGGTCTCATTATCTAACCCATATCGTTCTGTACGCTACTGTTCTGCATGTTTCTTCTCCCTTTTCCAGTCATTCTTTCCTTGTTTACTCCTCCTGTCATCCTTATCCTAATTTACATGCAAAGGCCATCAGAGATTACACCAATTTCATGCTGCCAGAGTTAATGTCCTTTAAGTTTACACCAAGGACTAGGTTTTACTTCCAGACCATGAAGTATTTATGTACATGACTAATATAGACCTAAAAATAGTTCTGTACATCTTAACAGGCCTATTCCCAGCCATAAAATTAAGCACACATTATGACTGAAAAGTGTCTGTGCTCTGACCCATTCCCGTCTCCCCCAACTCCACCACTTGGAATTTTGGCACCTTCGCCCATGTCTGGTTGCCACCACTCAGTTCATCCTCTTTAAAACTTGGCTGCAGGTGCTGTACCTGTTTACTACCCATATTAGTACAGTAGGCTTCCAAGTGTCTCACTGATTAATTCACAGCTTCTTTAAAGCAAATGCTTATTTTGCCTTTAATCCAAGAGAGAATAGAAAAAGAATAAAAATAAAGCCACCCACTTGTTTCTTTCCACCTAAACTTTGATCTTCTGTTGACAGCTTTAATTGCCATTCAGCTCAGTTATTCTGGGCTGGGAGAAGATTGCCAGACTTGGCTTTGCACACAGGCTGAATGGCTTCCGTTGTTCTCCCAGTTCTCACAGACTAACTGGGACAGCTCCTCTTTCTCCCTTCCATCAGCATCTTCTGAAGGATGTGAGGTCGGCTGATGCCAACCTTACGAAGTTTAACCATGACAAGTGTAAGGTCCTACACCTGGGTCAGATCAATTCCAGGCACAGCTACAGGTTGCACAGAGAAGAGATTCAGAGCAGCCCTGCAGAGAAGGACTTGGGGGTGTTGGTTGATGGGAAAATGAACATGAGCAGGCAATGTATGCTCACAGCCCAGAAAGCCAACCGTATCCTGGGCTGCATCAAAAGGAGCGTGACCAGCAGGTCAAAGGAGGTGATCCTGCCCCTCTACTCTGCTCTTGTGAGACCTCACTTGGAGTACTGAATACAGTTCTGGTGTCCTCAACATAAAAAGGACATGGAACTGTTGGAACAAGTCCAGAGAAGGGCCACGAGGATGATCAGGGGACTAGAGCACCTCCCATATGAAGATAGCCTGAGAAAGTTGGGGCTGTTCAGCTTGGAGAAGAGAAGGCTGAGTGGGAACTTTATAGCAGCCTTCCAGTATCTGAAGGGGGGCTATAGGGATGCTGGGGAGGGACTCTTTATTAGGGCCTGTAGTGATACGACAAAGGGTAATGGGTTAAAACTTAAACAGGGGAAGTTTAGATTGGATATAAGGAAGAAATTCTTTACTGTAAGGGTGGTGAGGCACTGGAATGGGTTGCCCAGGGAAGTTGTGAATGCTCCATCCCTGTCGGTGTTCAAGGCCAGGTTAGACAGAGCCTTGGTTGACATGGTTTAGTGTGAGGTGTCCCTGCCCATGGCAGGGGGGTTGGAACTAGATGATCTTAAGGTCCCTTCTAACCCTATTCTATGATTCTATTTCCCTTGCTCTTGCACTCGGAGCTGAGAAGAGCTTGAAGGGCACTCCTCAGCTAACAGCTTTGCTGCTGTCTGAGAAATGCTAATATTCTCCAAACTGTATCTTAATTTTGCCACCGTTTAGCCTGCTTCAATTTATCTATATTTGCTCCATCAGCATAAAAACAGCCAGGCAAACTGTAGCACATGTGATATTTACATAAAACATGCTAATAAATTTTACCCCACCTTCTATACTAGGAGACACTAGACCGACTCACTAATGTGAAAAATATACATAGGAACATACGTGTGCTCTTTGTCCCCAACTTCTCTTTCACTGTGATTAACCCAGCCACTTCCCATAAACAGGGAGCAGTCTTAGAAAGCGCGCAACACTACACTGACAGTCCTGTAGCAAAATCTGATAGTGGTTTTCATCAGGCTCTTCTTCTCCCAAATTAAGTTGTATTCTCATATTTTAATGTCACCAGAAACTGAGAGGAATGCCTTCAGAGAGAAGTCAAGGTGATGGCGGGACAGATACAAAAATTAGTACTTCTGCCATTCTGAACCCCAGGTACTTGTCTAAGAAGCTGTGCATCATGCAGGATGGCACTCCTCAAAACTCAGCTTAAGACTATCACAAGGACTGAGGACAAGATACAGGCTCTGGGTGCCATTCAGCTAGATAGGGACAGGTAAGCTTTGAGTTTAGGAAGAAGAATCTTGTGGGGTACAGAGAACAGACTGTGTTATTAACCTGGGAGGGTGGGGCACTGGAAATCAGGTTTTGGCAGCTGGGGGAAAACGATGTAGATTTGGGATAGACTCAAACAAATACAGAAAAAAGGCAAAGAAGGGAGAGAGGTTGATCTAAACCGAAAGAACACACACAAATTAAAGGAAAAAAAAAAAAGTAGAAACTACATCAGTGGTGAAGAGTTACCCTTCTGCTGTTTCTTCTGGACAAAATATAGTACAGATATGCAGCCAAAAGTTCAGACTCATGTTCAGAATGTAGGTAACTACTGAGCTAAGCAATCTTTCACTCTCCTCCAGCTTGTCTCCTGATTTGGTAGCATTCATCTGGAGCTGGAGTGCTGGGATCCACAGGAGAACTGATGAGTTTATAAGATGTGTCAAGCAAGGAAGCAGTCAGAGCTTCCAGACTTCAATGATTAAATGAACTTGACCTATGAACTGTTGAACAGAAAGATCCCAGCTTCTCAGCTCATCTGAGGAAGATGCAGTTCATCTGACACAACTGTGACTTACTCCCTCAGACTGCTAACATGACAGCAGGTTTTTTCTGTAAGACAGTTTTTATTTCTCTTCTCTAAGAAGCTAAGCAAAACTTCCAACCATATAGCAAGGTCTTGTGAAAAACAGGTAGTCTTAAAAAGCACGAATTTGTTCAGCTCTTCTTTGCATGACTTTAGTGCTGAAACCTGCTCGCAAACGGAACCGGAGGCACTGGTACCAACTGCACTTCACCGCTGATTATTTTAGCAGAAATATCATACTACTTAAGGATTATGAGGAGCCCTGGCCTGCAGCCAGAGCTCTGGAACGCAAGCCAGAGCTAAATACCACTTCTCTCCTCTCTCTGACCCCGACAAAGATTTACATTGTCTTCACTCATGCTGACAGACTTCTCTATCCACCTAGCAGGACATATATAAAAAAACACAAATGAGAATATGTATTAGGTATGTCAAGATATGTCACTGCTGAGAAGTGGTCCTTTTATGTTTCCATCAATATGTATGAAATTACTCTCTTATCTACTATCACAACATCATTCATTACATTGTTGTATGGGGCATCTAGTTGTAAGCTTTACCTCTTTTTTTTTTTTTTTTTTGGGGGGGGTGTTTCAAGCAACTTTTTTGGCCTGTTTTCTACAGTTAGATAAGATAGTTTAGATACCATAACACAGGTTGCTCTCCATTTTCAAATAGTTCTTATTTAACTGAAACTGATAGTTGGAATCACGACACAGCCTTCTGTTGCAAGATGTTCTTTTTATCTCATAGCTACTTATCTGCTGTTTCCTTCTGGAGCTATGGCTTGCTGTGTGCAAGAGCAGGTGCAAGTCCAGAGAACAATTCACCTCAGAAATTACTTTTAATTTCCTCTTTCTTTTTTTTTCATATACATGCATTAAATGCTGACTTATGACAGATTCTTTTCAATGCCTTCAGCAACTTCAGACATGACCCTGAAAAATGTTTTACCACATACTCTGAGCAAGCCATTTGGCTTTGTGGTAGGAATCACATACAAGTTTATGATCAACTATCAAGTTAAGAAAATAGCTCACTGTTCCCACCCTTGACAACTATGTCCCTAATAGAGTCCACAGAACTTAATATACTTATGACTGAGGTCTTCTGAGTCAGCCTCAGATGGGCCTGGACACAATATTGGGCTGTTCTATCATTGCAGTGCACTGTAAAAGAAAGCTTGTTAGGTAAACAGCATTCTGAATGCCATACCTTTTTTTTATTCAATTGCATATCCACAGCCAAATACTTGCATCCAACTTTTCAGTTAATCAAATTATAAAGAAAAAAAAGTGTTGAGTCACCCACGTACCACTCAATGTGTTTCACATTCCTTCCAGCTTGTCATTTTTCTTACCTGCAGCATTTCTACTTTTGTGTATTACCTATGACCACCAGCATTTACACGAAACAAGCTGTGACGAATTTCCATTTTGGCATTTACAAGTGTTAAGAGGATAATCACAGTTATTGGCTCCGAGGTATTTGCTGTTAGGGAGACGAATATATTTATTAATTTTTACCCACGATGTTCCATTCAATCTCTGGGCTTAACAGCAGACACAAATTCCACCATCTGCACTCCTAAAGGTTCAGATCCGCTGTATTAGCCTCTCTCCCAAACACAAACACAGATTCGAAGCTCCCAGTCTTTTCAAACTGCACTATAAATAACCACACTTGTTTCATACCTCTCGTGAGCACAGTTTCAAGAGATCATCCTCGTGTTAATTTCGTATGCGAATTTAAAGGGCCACCAAAATAGTGCGCCAGCGTGTGAGATTTTAAGGTTAATCTCAACCGTGCTGCTGTAGGAGAGGTTAGTTTCACCCCTACGGAAAGAGTCGCTGTGTTGCTCTGATAAGGAGCAGGTTCTGGGAGGACTTACACTAAGCGACTATGCATTGATGGAAGATGCAGGCAAGAGTGAGAAAAAGAACTAAAAGCAGACGGTAGCTCATCAGGTCAACGGCAAGTTAAATTCAAGCAGGTCTTTCGGTCACTCCGACTAGAGACCTGCTCTCCCAGCTCTCTGCGAGCTGACAAGCGCGGCACCGGCTCCCCAACGTCCCGGCTCCGCTCCCGCCCGCTCCGTCCTGCCCCACGCAAGTACTGTCCCCAGGCTGCGACTCCACCGGGGGCCCGTTACGAACCGTCGGAGGAAAGGGAGGAGGGCGTCCGCCCTTGCTATCCTCGCCGCCGGCACGGAGTGGGGCCCCGACCTCCACCCGCCTCGCAGCCGTTTCCTTTCGGCCGGGTCTGCCTCCTTCTGCCACCTCAGGGTCCGGGTACAGAGCCCGGCCCGGCCCGGCCCCGCCAGCCCGCAGCCGCCCTTTGGCGGGGTGCCTCACTTCTCGCCTCAACTCCTTCACTTCCTCAAAGCTAAAAGCCGCTCTCCCTCTCCTCACCCCCCCCCCCAAACGCGGCTCGGCCCCGCCAGCGCCGCTTCCCCGGGCCGGCCCTCAGCAGGGGCACGGTGTCCCCCAGTGCCGCCCCGGCCACATCCCGCCAGGCCTGGAGCTGGAGCTGGGGCTGACCGGCCGCCTCTTACCGCCGCCTGACCGCCGCAGGATGTGCTCGCTGCAAGGAAGTGCCTTTGGCGGGGAGCAGCCGCGGGCTGTCAGGCGCCGCCGGCCCACCTCCCGCTGAGGGGCGAGGGGCAGAGAGCCGCCAACGAGCCGGGGGAGGGGAGGCCACACCAGCGCCTCCGCGCACCGGCAGCGCGGGCGGCCCGGCCGGGCCAGGGGGCTGCTCTCCGCCTCCTGTTGCTGTCCGCCCCGGTCGGGACGGGGCCGAACGGGCAGCCCCGCCTCTACCTGCCGGCGGTCCGGGCGGGGGAGGTCGAGCCGCACGACCGGCAGCTGCCAGTAGCCGCCTCCCCGCTCCCGCCCAGCCAGCGCGGGCGAAAATAGCAACAGGCGGCGGGTCCCCTGCCAGGCCGCGTGGAGAGGGACAAGCTCGCGACAGGGCTGCCGGGGACCGGGGGTACCCATATCGCGACAGCGGGCAGCTGAGGCCCCTTATCCCGGCCCGTTTCATCCCTCTCAAGGAGCATTTCGGCGACGCGGCCCCGTGTGCCTGTCACAACCTCGGAGCCTGTCAACTCCCACAGAAAGTATGTCGTTATCGTCTTGCCTGGTGAGCCCGGGAGGTTGACTGAAGGTGCGGGCGCGGAAGGTAAGGCGGGAGCCGCTCTCAGGGGGAAGTTTCCTCACAAAGCTGGAACTAGCCCCACACCTGGAACCTGAGGTGGTCAAGTCCCACTCGGTCTGGGGCCAGTCTTGCCCATGGGGCAGCCTTCCACAGGCTCAGCTTCTCTGAATCGCCTCACACCTTCCTCCACCTCTTCCACACATGCATACATATATTTATATAAAATCACTGTAGTTGGCACTAGTTGGTCTGTAAGTTGCCAAAGAGGATCTGGAAACCTAATTGAATACTCCCCTGTGAGTGCTCTTTCCAGATGATCAAGGTACCTCACATTCCCATTCTGCAAACCACTTTTACACTCAATTAATTTCAAGTCATCTTGGCAGTAGGACTGCTGATGTACTTACTTTTAAGCCTGTGCATATTTCTAGAATCAGAGCTTTCTCAGGGAAATTTGCTCTGCTGCTGCATGTGTACTGTTCTGTGAGGGAAACAGTCAAGTAAGCTGTCAAACACAAGCACAATGTTTCCCCAGATTATGAAAAGTCACATTTTGGTATGTAAACACGTCCCTACTTGCAAAGTGTGTGGTGGCTGTACCTACATGGCTTTTGCTTGCTTGTTGATTGTTGATACATGAATTGAAGTGTGAAGCAGCAGTTCCCTCAGAGCACTTGTTCCCAATCTGCACTCAGTTCATGGTTTGCTGCTTCTTCATACATGGGAATAGGTATGAATGCCTCTTTTAGTGACATCCTTTACATTCCTTAGGAATGGGAATGCCACCTCTCTGCAAACCATGTCTGTCTTAGTTTTTAAACCATCGCAGCTAAGGACAAGGCTTTTACTGTAGTTATCACCCGCCAGCCTCAGTATCTGAGACAAGTGTGTCCTTTTGCTCATTGCAATCCCTGCTGCCTATGCATTACATGACTCTAGTCATGTTCTAGGAGACAGTGAACTGCAGTCCCACTCGGATATCTCCAGCACTTCAGACAAGGCTTATACATTACCAGATCTTTTTGCTGCTTCATTGGGTGACTTTCAGAAGGTGGTAATGAAACAGAAAAGGATCCTACAATACTATTTCTTGCTGATTGGGAGATCCTTGAACCACAACAGAAGTCAACGCTAGAGCATCACAAATACAAATCCTTTCTTCCTCCTCTTTGATAGCTGGGAAAGAAATCAGACTGTGCTTGAGCTCGCTGACAGGGCCCTCTTATTTTTCTCATTATCTCTGGCTCATATATTTTAATTCTTTGCCTAGCAGACTTTTTCATTCAAATATGCATGAGATATTTCCTTACAGTTAATAGGAGATGAAACAAACCTGGAGTATTTATATTTGGCAAACACCTTGAAAAGCTGTTCAGGAACAGCCAATTATCTGTTTAATCCCACCAATTCCTATAATACTTAGTAAGGTGTGGTAAAAATATATTATTTGAGTGCTTCAAAATGAAAGTAAATTTTGGTATAACATTTTGTGATAATTTTATCTACCTAAAAATTTCCAAGTAATAAAAATACAACATCTGTCAATGGTTTTAGAAGGTATTAGTCTGATGTCTGCCACCAGCTCAACAATAGATGAAAACAGTCATAGTAAGAACAACATAGGACTAATGAGATAGAGTGGAGAAACACACAGGTCACAGTAAGCATCTGGAGTAAACTCCACCATGTTCAGCTGTGTACATGTAAGTGACCATTCATTTCAGTGCTGGTAATAGAGACTTAAAACAGTGCTATGACAGAAATCAAATTGTTTGTGGAGAGGTTTAGAAACAATGCACAAGAAAAAGTTTAAAGCTGAACCAGGTGAAACAAAGAGCATTTAGGTATGAACACACTTTGGTGTGACTGGTGATAGCAAGGAAAAAAACAGCTCTTATGGATAAAAGAGTGCTTCTGAATAGTCATGTGGTAAAGCTGCAACTGAACTATATGGTCTGTCCTTGCAGTAGGAGGGTATTTCAATGTTCCATAGCTCATGAGCTGCATAAGGTGATACGGATATGCAAAAGATGGGATTGTGCATAAAGTCACCTTCTCTTTGTGTTTTTAGCACCTATTAGGTCTAAAAGATGTAGTCCTGCATTCTCACAGTTCAGCATCCACGCTTTCCTGAAGATAGGTATTTAAATACTCTGTCTTGTTACATCTGTTTATCCAGAATACAGGAAGATAAGTTTGTTTCTTAGTTAGCTTGAGTATGGCTGAGAGTGTGCAGGCTGCCTTCCATGAAATCATCAATCAGCCTTCTGGTCTGACGATTGAACTGCATTCCTTCCCTCTGCTTCCTAATGAAAGTGTTACACAGGGGGAAAACCCCAGTTTCATTTGTGAATACAAGAAGAGGACCAGAAGTGGGGCATAAGTTCCAGCCTGTAAAAATTAAACGTTTCCCTATATTCCAGGGGCTGGAATCCCTGTATTCAGGTGAAAGCCCTGAGCACCAAACTTACTAATAATTTTTGCTTTTCTGATTCAGTAAATCTCTGTTCATTTTTCCTTCACAGGCTAGTTTTTCTTTGCAGTAGACTATTAACTAAAACATACCATCACATTAACTTCTTCAGACTGAGGAGGGAAATCAGCCTGGGGTTTCCACATCCTGCAAATGTAAAAGGACACCAGTTTAACCATTAGCTCTTTGTTCAGTCACACTTCCAAAAAATGCAGAGAAAAAGCCACCATTGCCTTTTGTACAGAACCTGGATAAACAGGCTTGTATGAGGCATGCTATGGCAACATGTGGGGAATGGAGCCTCACTTGTAGGCTAAGGAGAAGCATCTACTCACTGGATCCCAGTTGGGGTAGGATTCTATCCGGGGACAGATGACAAGCGAGTTGAGGGTCTGTGGGTGAGAATTAAGGGGCAGGCTGGCAGGGGGAATACTGTTGTAGGTGTCTGTTACAGACCACCAGATCAGGGTGAGGAAGTTGACGAGGCCTTCTACAGGCAGCTGAGAGCGGCCTCACAGTCACAGGCCGTGGTCGTCGTGGGGGATTTTAACTTCCCTGATGTTTGCTGGAAGGACCACTCAGCAACCCAGCCGCAGTCCAGGAGGTTCCTCCAGTGTATGGATGATAACTTCCTCCTGCAAATGGTGGATGAGCCGACCAAGAGAGGAGCGCTGCTGGATCTCATCCTCACTAACAAGGAGGATCTGGTTGAAGCAGTAAGGGTTGAGGGCTGCCTTGGTTGCAGCGACCACGAGATGGTGAAGTTCAGGATCTTGTGTGGTAGGACTAGTAGAATACCAAGTAGAATTGCAACCCTGGACTTTAGCAGGGCAAACTTTGGCCTTTTCAAGCAATTGCTAGGGGAAATCCCATGGGCAAGGCTGCTTGAAGGTAAAGGGGCCCAAGATAGTTGGTTGACATTCAAGGACTGCTTTTTCCGTGCTCAAGATCGGAGCATCCCGACACGTAGGAAGTCAAGGAAGAGGGCCAAGAGACCTGCATGGCTAAATAGGGAATTGCTGGGTATGCTCAAGTGGAAGAGGAGAGTTTACAGGTCATGGAAGGAGGGGCTGGCCACTTGGGAGGAATATAAGGCTGCTGCTAAAGGATGTAGGAAGGCAGCTAGGAGGACTAAGGCATCCTTAGAATTAAACCTGGCAAGAAGGGTCAAGGGCAGCAAAAAGAGCTTTTTCAAATACATGGCAGACAAAACTAACACCAGAGGCAATGTAGGCCCACTGATGAACGGGATGGGTGCCCTGGTGACAGAAGATGCAGAGATGGCAGAGTTACTGAATGCCTTCTTTGTCTCTGTCTACTCTGCTGCAGGCAGTCCTGAAGAGCCCTGTACCCCTGAGACCTTAGATGAAGTCAGGTCGAGGGAGCGGCTTGCCTTAGTCGATGAGGAATGGGTTAGAGATCAGTTGAGCAATCTGGACATCCATAAATCCATGGGTCCAGATGGGATGCACCCGCGGGTGCTGAGGGAACTGGCGGAAGTCATTGCTAGACCACTCGCCATCATCTTTACCAAGTCTTGGGAAACGGGAGAGGTGCCTGAGGACTGGAGGAAGGCAAATGTCACTCCAGTCTTCAAAAAGGGCAAGAAGGAGGACCCGGGTAACTATAGACCGGTCAGCCTCACCTCCACCCCTGGGAAAGTGATGGAACACCTTGTCCTTGGTGCCATTTTAAGGCATATCAAGGATAAGAGGGTTATGAGGGGCAGTCAACATGGCTTCACCAGGGGGAAATCATGTTTGACCAATCTCTTAGCCTTTTATGAGGAAATAACACGGTGGATGGATGATGGCAGAGCGGTGGATGTGGTCTACCTTGACTTCAGCAAAGCATTTGACACAGTCTCCCACAGCATCCTCACAGCTAAATTGAGGAAGTGTGGACTGGATGATCAGGTAGTGAGGTGGACTGTGAACTGGCTGAAGGAGAGAAGCCAGAGAGTTGTAGTCTATGGGGCTGAGTCTAGTTGGAGGCCTGTAACTAGTGGAGTGCCTCAAGGGTCAGTACTGGGACCGGTATTATTTAATATATTCATCAACGATTTAGATGAGGGAATTGAGTGTACTATCAGCAAGTTTGCTGATGACACTAAGCTGGGAGGAGTGGCTGACACGCCAGTAGGCTGTGCTGCCATCCAGCGAGACCTGGACAGGCTGGAGAGTTGGGCAGGGAATAACTGGATGAAATATAACAAGGGAAAGTGTAGAGTCCTGTATCTGGGCAGGAACAACCCCAGGTTCCAGTATAGGTTGGGAAACGACCTGTTAGAGAGCAGTGTAGGGGAGAGGGACCTGGGGG